TATATATATATATCATCACTATTTCTAAAACAAGCTGCTGTGATGCTTACACCTCTGATGAAATGTCCCAAGTGTGGATTTATTTTGATACCAAGTTTATTTAAGTAGAGTTTGTAAATGCTGAGATACACTCAAATATACAGTATTTTAGATATTTTGAGCAGAAACAGAAAAAGACTGGGGCTGAGGATGTTAAATTACTGTGAAATCTGCACACAATGTACATTGAACATTATGCAATTTTTGTATTTGTGCAACKTTAGAGCAYRTGTGTCAAATCAAAGGCCCGCGGGCCAAATCTGACCCTCGTTAACATTTTGTCCAGCCCTCAAAGGTAATAAAAATGTTTAAATGTGAAATAGTTGTATGGTTTCCTTTTTTTCCCACTGTATTTAGTGCCTTCCTCTCATGACAGCTGGCCAACTTTCAAGCAATGAAAATCARGTTTGAATGTTTTAGTAATATTTGATTTTAATGTGAAACAGTCGACTTTAACTATATTTTTCTGTTTTGTCTTCTCATTTTAAAGTCAAATAATTGGATTTTTTTACCTAATTCGCTGCATTGCAATGAAATGTACAGTGTCTCTAAGATATAAGAAATGAAAAAGTTGTTGATTCAAAGCAAGGCAAATGAAATGAATGCTAATGTTTCTTTCTAAATGTATTTTTTATTTGTTCAGCTCTAAATGCTGCTTAAAACATAATTTGCAAAAGATAATTTGTATTTCTATAATATTAATTTGTTATGGCATTTTTACAGAAATTGGCCCTTGACTTGTACCATGTTTTGAGTTTTAGCCCCCGTGTTTAACTGTTCCTGGTTTAGAGGAAACCAGCTRGTGTGGAGAGAGTATTTTGACATCTTATTCTTCTCAGTTTAATCCAAAAATATTTAGCACTTTCATTTCAGTCATGTTTTTCATTCATGCTAGTTCTCAGAATTTTTTAATTTTTTATATATCTTGCAGACAAAAAAAAAGTTCAATCAAATGTATGAAAGGTCACTCACCGTGGCGTCCTCTCCAGACAGAACCCCGGGGTTTTTGCTCAGGTCCAGATGTAGCAGAGAGTTAGAGTAGTCGTCACATGAACACAGAGCCTGGGACAGAGAGACAACACCTAACAGGGAGAGAGAAACATAAACAGGTGGTAAACGAGGAGTAAAAAAAAAGAGAAGAAATGCATCATTGAGCTTTTCATTCATCTGAGGATGACTTTATTTTAGTGGACCAAATCCTAACTCCCCAGCAACCACAGAAGATAAACATAAAAACAGAAGGCATGAAGCAAACTTTGCGAGAAATGTGAAATTAAATAGACCCATATGAGCTCAGTTGGCTTACTCACATCTAAAGCTACCTCAGAAAAAAAAAGTAAGAAAAAAAAGAAATCATTATCACCCTGTAGTTTCCAAGTGCACCCTGCAACCCAAACAAAGATGCTTCCCCCAAATCAGATCAGTGCACTATTACAACCCACGGGCTCAACGGAGGCCCCCCTTCATTAAATTTCTCCTGYTGCAACTCTGATGCAAAAACAAAGCATACCACGGCAAGTGCAGGATCAAATATAAATGGCGTCGAAGAGATCTCTGGCTGTGGCAACATACAGCAGAATCTATCAGTCTGTGTCCTGGTTAGTCTCTGATTCAACAGGGATCCTCAGCAGCAGGTGGAGGAGGAGGGATCTGTTCGGCTGTTTTGAAGTGCGTTATGTGGAAGAGGCAGCTACTGTATGTGTTGTTCGAACGCAGGCAAAGATTTAAGCTTTTAATCCCTTAATTTGTAGCGATTAAGAGGGGAAATTAGAAAGAAGAGGGGACAGAATGCCTAATCCACCCTTTTTCATCTATTAGCTGCTTGATTCTGCCACGAGTTGCGACTGTTGAAGGCTATCAAGATGACCCGAGCATGTCCGTTTATAGAAAGATCGTGTGAGAGCGCGTGTTGGCGCACGTGTAGGTGTTTCATTGTTAGGAGACAGAAGGAAGAGGAGGTGAGAGATCTATAAATATTTAACAAAAAGTGGTCAGCCGCTGCAAAGTCATCCCAACGCACACCCGTCAAGGTCGGCCGCATCAGAACCAGCTGAATCACCGCGTCAACCCACGGGCTTTCCAAATCCCCTCCCCCACCCCATCTGTAACATACACTCTCTGAATAACAAGGTGTGTGTGATGAAMGTTATACTGTAGCTCTGAAGTCAGATTCAACATGTTCTCAGAGTAAACAAGTTAAAAATACAGTTTTATGCACAAAAATGTGCAAAAATGTAAAATCAATCCCATCTTGTCACAGTGTGTGTCTATCTGAGTACTTGGTTAGTAGTTTATTTATTCTCAGTGTTTTCTCTGTGAATCCCTGCTTTTTTTTCCATTCGGCTTCACTTGTCAGTCCCTGCCTCAGCCTCGCCCTCGCTCTCCAGCTCCTCATGTCTCCTCCAGGTGTTCTTTCGTTTACACCTCATTAGTTTGTCTTTATATTCCGTCTCGTGTCCTCAGTGTTTGTTGGTGCGTTGTGCCGTCTTCCCCAGCCGTGTGCTTCATGCCTCTGAATTCATAGTTTCCCTTTGAGTGAGAAATCGCTGCCCTGTCAGCGTTTTTGTTAACAAAGAGTTCTTGTTTATTTCGAATCCACCAAGTTTTGCCTGTTTCCTGGGTTCATCAACTCTTTCACCCCAACCCGTTCACAAGAAAGAAAGGAATAACTTGCAACTACTAAAAGTTTTCTGAAAAGCACTTGATTATCAGTAATTTTGAACATTTCTTAAGAAGTTTTGTTGGCCTGAACTGATGAACATCATGAGCGTGCCAAGAACAAAAGGCACAAAAGAAACTATTGCTGCTGCCCATCTATCTGGGAACTGATACAGCAACGTTTTGAAACAATTTAAAGTCCAAAATTTCAAAACAGAGGAAAAACTCTTCGGTGGGAAACATCCTAGAATCTTAACATCCATGCCAACGCTAGGATCAAAGTTATTGTTATTTGCTCAGCAAGTTTGCAAAAGCAAAACTTGAGAGCTTCGTCTCAGACTCTACAAGACTTAGACAACATTTTACTTTCTGTGGTTTATGACTGAGCAGTTTGAAAACGAAAAGCAAAACCCTGACTGAGCATGTATGATTTGTTCAGAAAAGCTACCAGATTAAAAAAAATATGATTTTCTCCATTAACAACATGCTTCATGTGCAAAGATGACTTTAGAGAAAATGAATGCTTTCTGAAACAGTTCAAGACATCAGTGAAGAATTTTGATCCAAATGTACAACTGTACATTTGGTGGAAACCCAATACACGTTAAGGTCTTTTTTTATGAATTCAAGGATTCGGCCAATTTTAAATGAGGTAACTTTTATTCTTGTAAGAAGGAACACACATTGAATGCACAGTACAGATGGTGTTCAGAGGTGTTGCTTCTCTGAACCATTCTTTAGAACTTTCCCAAAAGCAACCGAATTGATTTTTTTTCTGTACTTTTCCCATTAGTTGCCCTTTGGACATCCTGTCTTATGGGGTTTTATGCAGTCTTCTTCCTTGAACTTCTGGTATATGAAGAATTGATCCACTTCCTGCTCTAGGTTAGCTTAGCCAAAGGGTCATAAACACATTAACCTCTTAAGCCCCAAGGTACAAGGGGCAAAACTGCATTTTCTATTTATTTTACATCCTGTAATTTTAGGATCTGTCATTTAAACATGGACATGTTTGGTATCCACAGAAACCCCAAACTCTTGGTGAAAAGCTTATAAAGGCAGTTTATAAATAACCAAACACAGTTAACGCCACAAGCAGTTGAATCAGACAAATACAATGGGAAATAGTGACGAATCTGTAAAAATATTCTCATCTCCTTTGGCTTTTTAAAATGCAAATCAAAGCAAATGCCAAAATATAGTTTTCTGAAATTATTTTTAAAATTAGTTTTAGCAGTGCCATTGACTTGTTTGGTGGACTGGATGATGGAAGTTTGAAGAATATTGAAAATTTAGAAAATTATCCATTTCATAACTAACTAAACCCAAAATCAATTTTATTTTCACAGAAAAACTGTTTTAATTGTGCCTAAAGGGTATTACCCAGTGGTGGACAGCGCTAATCCAAAAATTAGCTCTGCAATTTCTAGAGCACTTATGATAATATTTAGGTCTGCAACTTCAAAAGCACTTATGCCATAGAAAAATTAGAAGAAGTTAATTTTATAGTGCAAGTTCAATTTGAGACATACTGGCTGGCAACAATTCATGTACAATATATGCACAACACTGCCAATTAGCGGTGTATGAACTCTTTTACAACATTTCTACAACCGCCGATTGCTGGGGATATGATATCCTGAAACAGACCTTTAGCTTCTGGTGTAAAAATGAAAAAGTTGTTGAGGATTGCTAGTTCGTCTGCTTCTTTGTCTTTTTCTTTTGTTTGTTGTAGATTTTTCATTCAAAAAAAGCATCAATAAAGTAATTTTAAAACTGTTTATTGGAAAACTGAAGCGATGCATTCTGGGTACATGACGGATTTGATTTGTGACGGGAAACGAAAGTACGGAGTACAGGAAACTATCTTCCCTTCAAAATAAGAGCTTGGATTTTAAAGTTTGCCATGTAGTTGCTCCAGTTGATCACTAGATGTCAGTCTTCACCAGCATAACATCTTTAGACCATTTCTGAGTCTCTAACACTGTTGGCTGATTTGCTTCAACCAATTATATCAAGTATTGAGCTCCAGCGTTTAAGCTTTATTTTTTTTAAAAAATGAGCTCCGATTGTAAAGTAAAATAAATCAACACATACAAAATTTTAGTACGGATTACAAACTACTGTTTTTGCTATTGCCTTCCTGCTATATAAGCAGACACAAAGCATTGTGGGAAATGAGAACCTTGACCGAAAGCAACAGTCAGCAAGGATGTATACCTTTCCAATAAGTGTGTTTATCTGGGAGGGGTGCTGTTGGATAGATCATGTGTGTTGTGATTCATTGACAACCATACCTTCAGCTGTTCAAGATAATGATGACTGGTAAATAATTAGTTATTAGCAGTAGGCTACTGCATTTTAATTTTAGAAAGCGCAAATCCACTTATGAAATATAAAAATTAGTAAGACCGCTAAAGTGCTAACTAAATATTTAAGTCCGCAATTAGCGGATTTGCGCATCAGCGGGCTGGTGCCCACCACTGGTATTATCTTTATAATTCTGTGCTAATTTTAACATTTTTGTGTAAATTTGTTTAATTCTGCAACAGTTTGTTCAAAAACCATCGTTGTGTTGCCCTCTATGGGTTGAACAGTGGCTAGTGCAGTTCAATTTTCCAATTGCTTAAAACGGTACATGCTTACGTCACAGCTCCCATGTTCGGGTATAAAAAAATGTTCATTCACAGACACACCACTGCAGCAAGTCAGGGGTTGGAATGTGGAACACTACAATGAAAATCCACAACCAAATTCTGGACATAGTCTCAATCACACTCTGTAGGGGTGAGCGTTGTTATCTTGGAGGATAGAGTTTGGTCCCTGACTGTGGAGATATAGGATTGTCAATCAGGCACCTCACCTGGGGGCACAAGAAGCTCAAAACAAGCCTCAATATCATCAGCAAAGAAAGATGTTTGGCAGAGAAGATTTGGCTTTTTTTTTGTTCATGTGCACAACCCACATACTCAGCTCTACTGCTCATCCCACAAATGTGCGTTTCTTCCAAATGTGGCACCATTTAAAGTGGAAATTAACAGGCTTTCCAACAGCATAAGATTTATTGCCAAGAAGCATTGTTACAACAAAGAAATCATCTACCAAACACTACTTTCCTTACTGTTTGTGCCAAGTTTACATTGTAACTACTTTAGGGAGAGAAATTCAGAATGAAAGACTGTCTCTAAACCACATGAGACTTGAATTATGACCGATCAAAAAGATTTCCCAGCTGTCAGTCTTTAAGTTCCTTGTTTAATTAAAAAGTAAAAGAAAAAAACACAACATAGTGAGATAAAAGGAGTGAACCAGAGTTCATCCACTGTGATATTAGAACAGGGTTTTCCAGAGTTCACTCTTCACCCACACTGTCACATGGTTTGTTAATCTTGGTGCACCTTCAACAATATTTTTAACACATTTGTTTAGTTTTAAGGCCTGAAATGCTTCTGTTTTCTGTGACTGCTTGTGAATACATCTCTTTTTCTTTTTAAATTTGGCCTCAGCTGTTTTGAAGCTCTTCAGGACTCAGAGTATGACTGCGAGTTGTCAATCAGTTTTCTCTGATGATGAACTGCCTGACAGAAAATACACAAGAATCAGATGAAATGACAGGTTTGTACAAGCCTAATTCAGATTTGAGTCAGGTTCTCTCCAATATTCTATTCAATGAAAACAGCTGGACAACTCAATTTCAAAACAAACTGAAATCTTTCAACATTGCAGGACTTCATTGATTTGAACACAAAATCTTTGAAAGTTGCATCATATAGTGAATTTAAAAAAGGTTGAGTAGGTTTTCTCGTCACACAGCAAAAACTAAAATCAGAAATTACATAAGATGAGAGTATTTTTGGTGTGCGTTAAAAAAATATATTTTATGTTTTTATGTCTGAGCATTTCACACACACACACACACACACACACACACACACACNCACACACACACACACACACACACACACACACACACACACACACACACACACACACGTTTGTTCTTGAACCCCATGGGGACCTGAATTCTATTCATTTTTGTAGACTTTATAGCCTAACCCTGACCCCTGAAATTAACCTCACAGGAACTTCCCTGACCCTTAAACTAACCTAAACCGTGGTCCTAAACCCCACACGCGTAATTTGCATTTGGACCCGTGGGGACCTGGCATTGGTCCCCATGATTCACTTCGGTCCCCACGAGGCTTCTTTACTTTGAGAAAATTGTCCCCACATTGTAGGATTTTAAAAAAAGAAAAAAAAATACTATTACAATTCAAAAAGTAAAAAAAACAATATAAATATACATTGTCAACTCTACTAACTGCATCAATAATGAAAAAAATGTCACCCACCACCTTGCATGTCAACAATTTAAACAATGCTTTTGTGAGATCTGTTAGCACATAATGTATAATTGTTGTTTTCAAAAATGACTGAGCTTTTGCTGTTTTTGAATTGGTTGATCAACCGTGGTTGCATCTTGAACCAGGTTGGCTTCAAAACTCTGTCAGTTGTAGATGTTCATCCAATGATTACTTTCTGAGAAACAGTGGGTCCTGAGATATTTTGCTGGCAGATGGCAGACAAACAAATAAACACAAACACAGGCAACTACATGATCTCTCACTTTTTATGATGGTGGGTGATAATCAGTCCAGTGTTCAGATGTGTCACTTTGATTTACTTAGTTTGTCAGTTGGTCAAGTTTTGTCATTTTTTCATCTTTTAGCGAATATTTATTCCTTTCAACCACAGAGCAACTGTTACTCATTTACAATTGTTTTTACCCATTTGGTTTGACCTTGTTGTTTGTCTGCTATGTGTGTCCCAGTGATGGACTTGCAACCTGTCCAGGACCCCCCACGACCAAGAAAGAAAGCAGCAGGTAAAAGTGATGATGGATACATGTTGAACCCTTTCCTACTCAAAATGGACTTTGTTGTCATAACTTCAGATTATTGTCTAGTTACGTCATTCAATTTATTTTGTCCTTTAAATATGCTGCACCTAAAATAAAATAACATAATCAAACGCAGAGTATGTGATTTCTCTGATATAATCTTTCAATAATGCAAGATAAAGAAGATAAAGTATTCTTTTAGCTGACAAATTCCTATCTGCATTGCTTCAAATACATTTTCTCTCAACTTTTAAAATACCATGAATAATACATAACAGTATAAATAAATTTGAATATACAGACAACACATGAATAATTTCCTTTTTCCATTTAACTTTAATTTGCATGAACTGGTCCTTTAAACGTCCTAGGACAGGAGATGCTGTGATGTGTAAAAATATTTATGAAAATAATTCCGCAAAATAATTATCTATCTTTTTAAATTATTTTTAAATATGCCCAGGTTGTGTAAGAAAATGTTCATGGCAATTTTAGATATGTGGTTATTTACATCAAGTGATGGGAAGCTTTTTATATTAATTCAAGTTGATCATGAAAAGGGGTAATTTGTGTCTCAGACTTATATCCTTTATTATATTTATTGTTAAAGGGCTAAGACCATGTGTTTCTCAGGCATAGTGTTCATTTCTATACCATAAAAAAGTAACTATGCCAACTTCAGTTGTTATGAAAAGGCTGTTTATATGTGTAAATCAAAAATTTATTTGACTTCACATCACTTCTGTCTCTTTAAGAACCTCCTACCGATTACATCACATCCATTTTTGCATCACTACAGCTTACAACCTGTAGCATTGTAGCCTATTTTGTTTTAATAATAATAATAATAAAAAGCAGCAACATTAAACAATATTGGTTTTGGACAATGTCAGCTCAGGATAAAACTGAAACGTACTTTTGGACGGGAAAGTACATTTTTTGAAGAACCGCAGCGAGTAGAGAGACGACGTCTCAGCTTGCAGATACACACACACACACACACACACACACACACGCACATTAATGTTAAGCTAATTTATTTTTTACTAAAATGTGGTGTAAGCCAGCTAAAGAGCACAGATCATAATACAAGTTATGAATGCTAACCGTAAATCACAGATATACCAAACCACCAAACAAAACAATGTGAGTTATTTTTATTTTAGTGATAATCTTATTATTAGTCCACTGTTAAATTACCTTTTGTTCATAAAGCTATCATCTGTAAAGTGGCTAGCACAAAAATATAAATACATACTTATTTTTCGTCTGAGGCTTACTTCCGTAAATGAAATCAAAACATTTCTTAAGAACCGTGTCATCCTTGGCATTTGAAAATCCATTTCCTCAAAGGCATTTTTTAATCAGAAAAGGACAGGACTGAGAAGTAGTTAGTATTACGAGCGTTTCACCAGCTGTTTGCTAGTTGTTGCTGCTGATAGCCTGCAGGAGTCGCGGGGGAGGTGTGCTCTGTGATGTGGAAGCTCAGGGGGAGACACGGCCCAGAGGAGGAGCTGCACCTAAAAGGCAGTTCTAGGGCCAACCAGCTAGTTTTGTTCTCCTGAATGACTGCCTCAGGACAGTAGGGTTTCTCAAACATGCAGGAATGATAACATTATGACATGATATAAAGCTCAAAAAAGGTGATTTTACATGATATTTTCCCTTTAAGCAGGCTGTGAATGGTTGAACTGGAACAAACTTAAAAAGCAAATCTGACTTTTACAATTAAATATTAAAAACCCAGAATGCTGTTGACAGATACAAAGTTGTATGTTACCTGCAGGACTTCACAGGCAATTACAGCAACAAAAATAATGTCAGTTTATTCAAAATAAAAATGCCAAAAACATATAATAAAAGGCTTTAATAAATTTAAAATAAAAAAACAAAATATCCATTTGTAGGATTTTCATCTGTACAAAAATAATCCTCAATAAACAGCAGTCATATTCATGGGTGATTTTGTTATCTCAGATAAAAACAACTGGGACACTGGCTAAAATCTCATATAAGTATTAGCGTGGAAAAAATGATTCTGATTCTGGCCTGATTATTATATATAGATGGATAATCCAGCACATTCACTGCTCTGTTTATCAGAGGGAGTAAATCCAAAAGCAGCTGCATGTGGGACAGTTGGACAGCATGGGCTCAAACTGAAGAGTTTACTTTCTGTGGTTGTGACCGACAGAAGAAGGTCAGCCACTAGGAGTCACTTATATTTAAAGGAGCATGCCTACCTTTTGAGGAGAGGGAGGTTTTGGAGAGGTTCAGGAGGCGCAGGCCCTTGTTGAGGCGACAGATCTGTTGTATCAGATTGGCAACTCCTGAAACACACACACACACAAAAACACGACGAAACAATGAGAGACTCTGAGCACAAGTTCTGAAAGGATGACTAAACATAAACACACAAATCAGTATAAAAAAAAGCAAAACATAAGGAAATCTTAATGGGTTTTGAAAAACAGCAGTGGATTCAATTTTGTTAAATAAATAAATAAATGGCAGAGAGCAAAAAAGAAAAATGTGGTTGAAAAGTCATTCAATACAAATATATACAGTATATATATACAGTATATATATATATATATATACTGTATATATATATACATGTACATATATGTATACATTTATATATATACATACAAATATATACAGTATATATATATATATATATATATATATATATATATATATATATATATATATATATATACATAGCTTTACTAAGCTTTTACTTCAAGTACAAAAATAGTAATAATTGCAAAAGACTCATAAAAAATGTTCTACAGTCTCCCACATACACAGATGGACCTGACAAAGCCAGACAGGGACCATATGCCAAAGCAAATTATGCAACTCAAAGCTTCAGTTCAGCATCCTGTAAAACAGACTGAAGCCATGAAGATAATCAAAGAAATGTCTGCTTAAAAAAAGGATTACAATATGTTTTTCCTGGTTCCTTTAACTCCCTGCAATAGCAATTTTAGATAATAAGTCTTCTTAAAAGTCTAAATAAATTAAAGGTAGCAAATTAGCAAAAAATCTTGTGATTTATTGTTCTGTCTCAAACAAACCTGAACTGAACCATCCGTCTTTTAATAATGTGTGTACTACTGAAAAACAACGCATAGGGACAGCCATCTCAGCAGTCTGTGCTACTGAGGTCAAAGTTTATGCCACCATCTTGGTAGGTGCTACATGCCACACACATGCAACAAACTACATCTGAGGCAATGAAACCTAATCTCAGCCAGGGAGCACAACGTTTAGCCAACTTGGAATAATTTTGGAACCTGCATTTCAAAGCACACAGTTGGTAATTAGATCATACATTTTTAGGATTGTGACCTTTTTAAATTCTGGCTATGCTCAATTTGTTCATAAAAAGTGCAGCAATCGACCTATACTGAAGCTTCACAAATCAAATGTATGTTTCACCAATCACACACTTGGTTTTAAATATTCTACAATTAGTGTAGAGTTCAGATTTGAAGTTTCTGTTTTACGTGATTTAGTTTTTAAACTACCTTACAGTAGATTAAAAATGCTCAAACTACAGTAGGTGGAAGTGTTCTTTAGTCATTTGTGAAAACCAATTTTTTTCTTTTCATAAGTCTACAAGTTTTTTTCTTGTAAATTTATGACTTCACAATGTCAGAAATTATTTTTTCAAATATTAAACATTTCTGTCTTTAATCATGGAAATTTCAGTTTGTTCTCACAAATTCGTGACTTTTGAAGCTCATAGAATTTCCTTGTTTTTTTTTCTTGAAAATTTTTGGCGGAGATTTACTCCATTTTTTGTTTTCATCTGCAAAATGGCCCTAATATAGCCCTATAAGGAAGGAGAGCCACCTTGTTCTCAATAAAAGAAATCTCTTTAAAGTCATTGTGTAATGCTTAAATTCTAACTCATTAAGTACCCGGTATCGGTAAGCACCCAAACCCAAGGTAATCGGTTTGAGAAAAACTGGTAGTAGGACAACCATTACATCCTGTTGTCACAATACACACATATATGTATATGAATGCATGCTTAACATTCATTTAAGTAAGGTGAGACGCTTTCTGTTCATTTTTTGATTAATGACACAGAATTCAGCATGCATAAAGGATTGGATTCGCCATGTAAACAACACATAGTGGTATGTGTAGCACTTAGCAACATGGTGGCTACAACTCTTAATTTGGTAGCCATTCTAGTGTACTTCTATTTCAGTTGTGTGTACATTTATCCTACTGAATACGAATTTGTCCGAACATTTTTTTTTAATATGAAGGGTTCTCAGATCTCCCAAAAACAAACATCCAGATGCACGCCTCTCTACCCACTGTGTTGTTTTGTCATTACAACAGGTGTTGCTGCCACACACACATGCACACGCACACCTGTGTGTTTTGCTGAAAACTGTGGCAGGCATGAGCAAGAAAAAACAGTTCTTGGGCAACAGAATGGAGGACTCCACCTCCACTAAATTAAAAAAAGGAGATTTTTTGAAAAACATGAGACAGATGTACGACTCTTTGACCTCCTTAGAATATTTGATTGGTCATGTTGGACAATCTGCATTAGTGTGAGGAGGACAAAATAAAGAAAATAGACCCAGCAAAAGGAGTGACTGGATGTGTGTCGGGGGTCGGCTGCAAATCACTGAATTTGTGGAAAAGCTGCTTTTGTTCCAGATCAACAAGAATTTGAGAGCTGGAGATGCGGGCTAAGGAACTGCACAAAGTTGCAAGAACTTCACAAGAGGGAGCAGTGGCAACAGGTGTAGGAGATTTCATCAGGGGAAGTGGAGGTACTCACTCTGAGTGCAATCATAAAGGTGTGCAGGATGTGGAATAAAATACAAAGCTTCTGAGCACATCAGTCAAATAAAGCTGTCGCCACAAACACAAATCTGCACGACGATGTTACGGCTCTTTCTTTGCAACATTTTGCAGTGACACAACTACAGTAACTTACAAAATTTAAATTATTGTAAAACATTATAAAAATTAGGTCTATTTGACTGACTGCACCAGATTTTTGTGCCAAAATCTGGTGTAGTTGTAGCTTTGACTCACAACACATATTCTAAACGTGACATTTTGCCTTTAATGTAATTTTGAAGGTTTGACCAAAGCGGCTTCAAGTGTTTCGTTTCTCAACATAAAAATATTTTAGTCTAAAACTCGAATAAAAGGTGGCAGATTTAATTAATATTTCACCTTTTTGCTTTTAGCATTGTCGTTTGGAACAAACAGCATCTCTGTTGACTGATGATTCAAATGAGTAATTTATTTTTTTATTCAAATTTTCTTCATTTTTTCAAAATAGTTTTGCACACAAACTTATTTGATACAAATCATCTGTTTGAATGATTCATTTAATTTTTGGAGAGTTGACTGTATAAACATGTTTGCGGCTGCTGCTATTTTGTGGCTGTAATTAAAATAAAAAGTCTGCACGCTGTCAATACCGATAAACACACATCCACGCGCCAGGGGGTGATTAGTGTGAGTGCAAAGAATCTAATGAGGGAAGTAGAAGTGACAAGTGCCAGACAGGAGGGCAGAAATTAGCTAATGAGGGATGCTAGCATGTGTGCAAAGCCTGACCCTGGCTTACAGAAACACAGCTCTAAACCCTCAATCTGCCACTGTTCGTCTTTGTTTGTCAAAGTAGTAGGAGGATGAAATTTATCTAGGCTGCTTCTGTGCACAGGCAGAGGTGTAAAAAGTGATTTAAAAAAATGCCTTTTCTCCGCCCCCCTCCAACATCCTTTATAGTCTTATAACAAGAAAAGCAGATGAGAGAAAAATAAAAATAAAAAAGGAACGGCGATGAAAATGCAGCAAGGACAGAGATTGATTCTGAACTCTTTGAAAGCAGACAAAAGAAACACTCAAGTAACAGCAGAAGAACAATCAGCGATGCCCGGAAAGAGAAGGCAGTGGGAGGCAGAGAGAGTTCACAGAGTCGGTACCTTGGTTGTCTAGTGTGTTATGAGCCAGATTGAGAGAGTGAATCACAGAGGCCGGGTTCTCTGACAGAGCAGACGCCATCTTCTGGGGGAAATCCCTGGAGAGAACATGAGAAGGAGAAATTGGATTTTCTGTAAAACTGTATATGTATATACTGGGATCATAAACTGAATGAATCTGTCAAGGCTGATGTCCTGATTTCATCATATTTCACTCCTCTGTTCACTCATGTTTCACTCCTCTGTTTCATCATATTTCACTCCTAAGTTTTACCATTTTAAAAATAAAACTATTTTATTTAGAATCCATTTGTAACCAATGGTGCAGTAAAAAAAGTTATGTTAACAGATAGATGCAATCACATTTTAAAAGGTTTGTTGTTCTTTTGAACATGAAAATAAAAGGTTTTAACTTTTCATTTTTGATTCTGCGTTACCTGATTAAACAGCTACATTCCCTACCAACTAATTCCTGGATTGTGCTGCTTTCCACACGAAAAGAATCACGGCCAAACCCATTTCTAGTTTCAATCACATCAGTAAACACAAACAGCACACAGCATTGCTCCCGTGAACCCATTTCCAGCCAACGTAAGAATTTCAGGAAACCCTCCCCGACCCAAACTGCAAGCAGACAAAGCTCGTCGCTGAATACAGCAGCTTAAGAATCGCATGAGTAAAAACGAAAAGAAAAAATTTGTCTGCTGGCCATGGACTCAACTCTAAATGAATACTAATGCTCGTCCATGTCTGCAGGTTGCCAGCGTTTTCCTACAGATCGTTCATTCACAAGTGCCATAACAAATCAATTAGACAACAAGTGACTAAAAGGATCCTTCCAGGCATGTCTGAATACACAAACCCTCTCATTTTAACAGTAATTTGTGTCTGCTTTTTTTTGTTCCTCTTTTAAAGGTTTTATCATGAATATGTACATATACACAGTATTACTATTTGTTTGTTGAAAAACAAGGTTTCTGATTTTGTATTGTTGTTGACTAATCTTCCTGACTGTAGAATATTTTTTATAGTTTACATCAGTGTTGTATAAAGCACCAGAAAGTGATACTTGAGTAAAAGTACAAGTATCTTACCAAAAACTTACTTTGACAAAAGTTAAAGTCTCCTTTAGGCATATTACTTGAGTAAAGGTCTTAAAGTATCTGATACTTTTTGTACTTAAGTATTAAAAGTAAAAGTATTGATGTAAAATGAGCAGTTAGATTTTCTGTAATGACATTTATTAGGAGGTGGCCTCCCCCAAAAATGACTGTGTTGTAATAAAATAATTAATTTATGTTAAATTTAGGATGCACTAGTCCAGCTGTTTCACTTTATATACATATATCAAGGCTGCACAAACATTTTCACCAAAATGAAAATCTATCTGAGGGCTGCAGCAAAATGCAATTATATAATTCATGAAATACAAATACTTCTTAGGTACAGTCCTTCTATTTTAATGAATATGTCCTGCTGGAGTGTGACATGATTTGTGTACAAACTAATATGGTATCAGAATTTTATACATTTATACTTCTCGTTCAACTACAATTAAATTCACTCTACAGTATTTAGGAGGCACAATTTATATGGATAGTATTTACTTTTTACAATGACAAGCTGGAATGAAAAGAAAACTTAAATAAAAGTAACGACTTTCTACTTCTTGCCTTTTTAGAAAAATGTAGGGAGTAGAAAGTACAGATAAGTGTATGAAAATGTATGAAGTAGAAGTAAAAATAGACTGAAAAATAATTACTTATGTAAAGTACAGATACCCAAAAATTCTACTTAAGTACAGTAAAGAAGTATTTGTACTTAGTTACTTTACAACTCTGGTTTACATAAAACACCAAGAAATGAAAAGTGGTGAACTAAACCAGAAGTGAGCAAAAATATGGTCCAGGGGACAAAAATGGCCTTTGGACAATCTCAATCTGGCCACTTTAAGCGATACAGTATATCTGAGCACCTTAAGTGTGGAATAATGGAAATATTACAAGCAAATAACATAATCCCTTTTGTAAATAGCTCTCTGAAATACCTTTGTTTAGAGAAATATTGATTAGGTCTTGACAGGACAGAGAAGCTAACAGCTAATATGATTAGGTAGAAAACCTAAAAGAAAACCTGTGTTAAGAAAACAATTCAAATCTAATGTACAGAGTAAAAATTTACAGACGTTTGTGAGAATGCTATTTTATTAACCTTTGTGTTGCTCCTAGCAGAAACATCATTATGTTCTTGCTGCAGTTTAGCTGCTGCTCCTGCTTCTCTAAAGCTAACATAACATGTCAAATGATAACTGTTGAGAACCTTTATACAAAACCCCTTGTCACAATATGAACTGTGTATCCTCATAAAAGAATAACACAACCTGAAATAAACTGACAGCCAGCATTTATAGATAAATCTTAAAATTAAAATAGTCTAAATATTTTCCATATTTTCACATTTTATTCCATCAAGGCAATCAACTGTGCATGAATGTGATATYCTACTTTAAAATTGTAACACAGGTGTGTGAAACTCACACAAGGGGGTCAAAATTTAAAACTTCTCTGTCAATATTTATTGAAAAAGATATTGGTTTAACAAGGCTTATAACAACTTATCCTTACACAAATATAAATATAATAATAATATAATATAAATGATTTTGTTTTACACTCTGCTACCAACTTTATTTATTGTTTCTCACTAATAGTCTAAATACTAGACTTTAAAACAAATAAAATCCAAAAAAGATAAAGTGTTGCCTAATGTCATAAGAGGACTGCATTAAACACACACACACACACACACACACACACAAAGAAACAATAAAGCTCTTCTACATTTAAAATATTACGTTTTGGGCCATGATTAAATGTTTATAAGGGTCAGATTTGGCCCATGAGCTTTGAGTTTGACACATGGGCTAAACAAATTATAAAAAGATTGTTTTTTATATCTTTTCAATGTAACTGCCTTGTTATAACGAGACACAGCTCAACAACAATTTGATGTCATGTGACTACGCTTCCATAAAATCTGTCATCTTARACACGTACATCTTAAGTTTTGATCTATGCTCTAAAGTTTTATCTGTTTAATTTGTTAGATCAGTGTTTGTTCTGGTAAAGCGAGATGAAAGAAGCTTAAAAAAGAAAATTGTTGTTGCTCTCTAAATATTTTTTTCTTATCTATTGATTCACAGATAGTAGTATGTTGGATATTTGCTTATCGCTGTGCTTGAGGAGATGAAAAAGTCCTAAAAGTGTGCGACTGAAATAGAAAAACATCAGCATTATAATTCAACGTGGGCCTGTTCAGTTGCATTTATTGGGTMAATATGGCCTTACTGAAACTATTAGTTCCCTGTTGATCAAGATGTGTTTTTATATGAAGAGACTTAAAGAAACCGAAAATGTCATGAAAATTATAACGCATCTTTCACATGGTTTTATTTGTTACACAAACAGCATTCGGACATAGCATCTGGTGTCCTGCACCATGTGTGTGGTTAGTCATCACAAACAAAGAAAGAGACTTTGGTCATTTGCAAAACAAAACTAGAATTCAAAGGATCTGTTCCACACTGTTAGTTTCTTTTAATTGTTGTTTTCCCCTAAAGCAGACACAATGGGAAGGTGTCACGTTGCCAGATTTCTGGTTGGCTTGGTGACAAAGTTATCACATCACACGGACTTCACATGAAAAATACCTTTTGAAACAATCAGATTTCATAAAAAAAACAGTGTTGTATTCTGCATGCACGCTTTTATTTTGGAGGTAAAGGACTTTGCACTGCTACTGCAAAGCATCTGACAAAAAAAAACAAAAAAAAACCTTTTCTATTAGAAGTGATTCACTGTCGGGAAAATATAAAAACTTCAAGGCAGTAAATTATCTCTCCTTGAGGCAGCAAATTAATCTTAATTAAAGCTAAAGAGAAATGCTCTGTTAAATGTTAATCAGCCATCTATTCAAGGTGAAACAACTCGCCAGGTATAATCCAGATTTTTCCTAATGTGTCAGAGGATAAACACTGACTCTGCCATCGACAGAGAAGAGGGAGGCTTTATTGGGCCTTTATTGGATGAAAGAGTGGGGGCTTAAGGGAGGTGAGAGATGAAGGGACAAAAAGGGAGGAGTGAATCGGAAAGGTCAAGACGGCAGAAGAAGGGAGCGGGAGGGGGAGGGGATATTGAGACACGAGGTGAGCTGTGAAAAGGTGAGACACGAGTGGAAATGATGAGACACACAAAAAATAAAAGAGGCAAGAAAAGACTTGAGTAAAAAGGACAAAGAAGGAGAGGCTTTCAGAAAGGAAGATGTGAGGAGAGGAAATTCATTTTGAGGAGAGAGCGGAACCTACGGTTTCAGCGCTGCATTCTCCAGTGTGAGCTCCTCCAGACTGTTGGACTTGCTGATTGTGTGCAGAACCTGGTCCACCACCTCCGACCCCTGATGGGAAACACAACGCACACACACACACACCTGTGACTGCAGGTTTTCAGGGAAGAGAAACTGAAAATAAAATGTTAGGTATGCTGTTATTTTCATTAGCCATTCATCTCTGAACTGTACTTTCAATTAAACCGTAAAATCTTGTCTAATAAGAATTAGGGGAAAAAATGTTAACAAAAAATCCCACTGTGTCTTCTGCAAATTGATTTTAGTCCACAAAAGCTCAAAGTTAATAGAGTTAGCTATTATTGCTGTTATGAAAATTAACAGTGGGAAATCTTCAAACAAGCCAAGGCCAAGTGTCTGTTTATTATTTTGAGTTACTTGAGAGATTAATTAGTAATAAAAATAGTTATTTGTTTTATGACTGTAATATTATCTGGATTATTCATTATACAAGTGTCAGTGCTGTTTATTGCCTGCCACTATGAAAGGCAGGCGATTTTTTTAATTGCTTGTATCTGTGTGTTCAATTGTCTGTGTGTCCATTAGCCAATATCTCATGAACCACTTGACAGACTGTAATGAAACTCCCAGAAAGTAATCACTGTTGTACATCTACAACTGATTAAGTTTTGGAATAAACCTTATTTAGAATGGCCGCCACAGTAAATCAACCATAGCGAACATAAAAAATGGCTATGAGTCAGTCGATTTCACAGATATTAGGCTGTAATTTTGTGGCTGCAGATGACTTCTCTCCAACACAGTCAAACAGAATGGTCAAAAGCTTTGTTAAACATGACAGCATTAAAAGTCAGTGTCCAGCTGTTTATTTGTTAGCAAAAGATCTAATGATTTCCTTAAAGAAATACTATTTTTTAAATTTATTAAAGCAATTCAAAGAGTTGTGCACTGGGGGTTATTATGTAAGTCCCATTTGCATATTTCAATTTTTTACACAGTCAGTTAT